GGGGGCGCTGCAGTCATGTATTGATCATTGCGATGGGTTCCCCCTTCCTCCCTTCCTCTCCTCACCTTCCCCGTGCCCTCCTGGTATCACTATTCCTGTTCCTGGATTCCGTGTGTCTTATCTGTACCTGTGCACATGCTCCAGTCTAGCCTGCAGTGAAAGGCTAGATACTGGGGTCATGATAGTGGGGAGGGAGGTAGCTTCAAGGAACCAGAGGAGTATTGTATGTTTCATCAGTACTATACTGCACCCCGATTGACTCATCCCTTCCCTGTTACCCCTCTGTGAGGGGATGTCCCATTGTCTACAGATGGGCTTTGGGTCTCTGCTCCGACCCCTGTCATTTTCAACAATATAATTTGTTTGTTTGTTTTGGGTCTTCTGATGCCTGTTACCCAAATGTATGGATTTTCAAGAAGGGGGCCATTCATGATAAATATCAAGAATCTAATCTTGAGCATAATGAAATTCTTCTGAATCAGAATCGCTTTGTGATGGTCACTAGTAGTGGGAACAACAAAAAAAGATCTTGTCTTTTGTAAAACACAATCACCTAAAACTGGGTAATATTTTGACCCCCATGGAAATATTTTATTCAAACTTTCCTGATGTAGTTATTGAATCAAAATTGTTAATTGGCACTGAGATAAAAATCACGTACCCATCAGTTCATCTTGTGGACAGATATAAATATTTCAAATGATCTCTTTGCTTCCCCCTCCCACACCCCACTTACTTAATCAAGCCAGGTTTTATACACAAATTTTAAAATGTACGATAGGAATAAAACAAGAAAGCGCCTTTTCATATCTCAAGCCAAATCCACTGCCATCGAGCCAGTTTCAACTCATCGCAACCCTATATGGGGTTTCCAAGATGGTACATCTCTTCCGGAAGCAGAAGTCCCATTTTTCCCACAGAGAAATTGGTGGGTTCAAGCTACTGACCCCACATTGAGCTGTCCACTTCCTCCTGACAGGGCCACCAGGGCTCCCGTTGCTCAGGTAGGTGGCAGCAGACCAAGTACGAACCTGAATTCAACCAACAGAAGACAATATTGCTTAGTAAATAGTGTTTTTCTTGAATGCTCAACATGGAGAGGCCAAATTTTCAAGCAGAGTTTCTTTGGCAGCAAGAAAAAAAGCCCCCTAGGGAGCGGTGACAAGTAAGGACCGAAAAGACTCTGGAAAAATGTAATTTCAGTTGGGGAAACCTGGGTATAAGACTGTATTTTAGATCACCATAGAATTATGTGACATCACAGAAAAAGAACACATTTTTCTTCTGGAAAGATGCATGCTCCTATTAATGTTTGTAAAAAAAGTTTTAAACGCCTAATCCAATTTGTTTTAGCATGATTTGAAGACTTAATTGCTAAAGTTGGTGCCCTTCTCTCCGAGCATTCAATTCTGCTTTTCTTTTCTTTTCTTTTCTTTTTCAATCAACCCTGCAGATGTCCCTGGCTCCATGCCCAATGCGTCCTGGATCGGCAACCTCAGAGCGGTGAAGTGGAACGACATGGAGGATAAGCATGGGGGCTGCCACGGTGAGCTTCCATCCGGCTTCGTGCCCTCCATGCTTGCTGGGGTTGAGAAAGTAGCTGTGGAACACAGGGCAGCCCCGCGAGAAAGAACCCTTGGAACACGTCACCCGGTCTGTTCACTGTCCACTCATCGACACCGATAGGACAGGGTAGAACTGCCCGTGAGGTTCCGAGACCGGGTGGTCACGGACAGTGGCAGTCAGCATGTGTTTTGGAGTTTGGGCTCATTTTCTAAGTAGAGCAGCCAGAAGCACAGTCTTTGCAGTTCCTTAAAAATAAGTATAAGCTTCTCCCAGACGTATTCACCGCTTATGATCACCTACGGGCGACGTCGTGTGGAGCACCAACGGTCATGGCACGTTCTTCTCGCTCCTTCCAGTCTCCTTCTCCTTTGTTCTCTGGCTGGTCCTTTGGGGAGAGGGACCCTTGGGAGGGGACTGTGGTCAGGATGAGGTTGACAGGTGACTCTGTTCTTACCACCCCCTCATGCAGACCTCTGCTCTCCCACAGCAGAAGCTCCCCTTGATTTGGAAAGCTGGGGTATTCGCCAGAGCTCTGATTCAGTGACAGGTACATCTGTCCTCCAGATGGAGAGGAACTAGAAACACTAATGAGTTAGTCCGGGTAGGCTAGAGAAACAAATTCATAAACACCCATATGAGTGCACGAGAGAGATAGTTATAAACACCCATATGTGTGCAAGAGAGAGCTTGTATTAAAGGGTAAGTGTACATTAAGAAAACATCCCAGCCCAGTCCAGATCAAGTCCATAAGTCCAATATTAGCCCATATGTCTGACACTAATCTATAAAGTCCTCTTCAGACTCATGAAACACATGCAATGATGCTGACTGCAGGACGATCACAGGCCAGTGGGTGGGAAGTCGTGTAGATCCAGTGGCGCTGTAAGCATCTCAGCCCTGGCAGGGGTCTCCACGTGGCTTCTCCAGGTCCAGGGTTCTGGCTGTATCAGGGTAGGTCCTTGTGGCTTCACTTCAGGGATGTCTCTCAGGGAGTCAGCAGAGAGAGAGAAAATGTCTCCTACCTCCAAGGAGGAAATATAGGAGGTCCAGGATTCTTAGGAGAAGGCCATGCCCACACAGAGGCCTCATTGGTTATATCTTGAGTGACAGGCCAGACTCCACCTCTTTACTCACAATCCTCACAAATTGACACCAGATTATGTAACTATCACAACTAGTAAGATTTCATGTTTATGGGTCTTTCTGGAGAATGGTTTTGTCAGTCCTGGCCTACTTTGATTTTTATTTTATTACTTCAGCAAATATAAAGGAGTCCTGGTAGTGTCGTGGTTACAAGTTGGGTTGCAATCTGCAAGGTCTGCAGTTTGAAACCACCAGCCGCTCCTTGGGAGAAAGATGGGGCTTTACTCCCATAAACAGATCCAGTCTCAGAAACTCCCAGGGCCAGTTCTGCTCTCTCTGTAGGGTTATGAGTCAGCATTGACTCAATGACAGTGAGTTTGGTAAATGTCACATAGGGAATCCCTCAGTGGTGCAGACAGTTAAATGCTTGACTGCTAACTAGAAGTTTGATGGTTTGCCGAGGGGCCTCAGAAGAAGAGCCTGGCAGTCTACTTCCTAAAGGATTTTTCACAGCCTTGGAAAATCCTATGGAACAGTTCTACTCCGTGCGCACTGGGTTGTTATAAGTCAGAATCAATTTGACAGCAATGGCTTTGTGCTTTCGTTTTGTTTTATTTTAATTGGTGTGATTTGTTTTGATTTTTTATTCCATTAAATATATACATAACAATCCATTTGCCATTTCAACATTTTCCCCATGTTCCAAATAGTAGTATTAAATGTGTTTGTCATGTTGAACAGCCATGACTACTATCCATTTTCAAACTTTTCTTTACTACTTTTATTATGAAGCTCAGTGTCTCCTTCAGCAATACGCCCTTCTTTCCCTTCTTGTTCTCACTCATCCCTTGTAGCATTTAAGGCTATTTACACTTGGCTCTTCAAGCAGTCCTGACATAATTTCCATTTAGACTACTGTCTGGTGTATAGTTGACTTGCAGTAAAGACTTACTTAGAAGAGGGAATAAAAGGGCGGATGGGTGAGTGTATGTGGAACCAGTGCCTTCCTACCCGGTGGGAGCAAGACCTCCATTCCACCTCTCAGTCTCTGGCTTCACACTTCAGTCCATTTTCCCAATCCACTTACATTAACATTTCAAGTGAAAGCTACATTGTTACTTCTCCACAAATCTCCAGTATACCCAGCCTCCTCCTCATTTACCCCTTGATAGGCCCCTTCCTCTGCAGAAGGCAAACCTATCGTGTCATTGTACAGAAATGCCAATCTCTTCTCAAGCAGGTTCTTGTCTTCACCATCAGTAGTTCACAGGTCCCCTCAGGGGGCCGCACAGGGCACGTGCCCATACTCACATGACAGCCTGTCCTTCTGGAAGGGGGTGCAGAGGTGACCTCTCCTTTCTCTCTCATCTCCCAGGTCTTCTTTAGGAAACTGACTTCTGAATCTTTTTCAGATCTGCTTTCTTGTCTAGATCTATCCACTAATCACTATCACCTTCGGGGATTGCCTGGTCATCCTGTGAATTGTGATCAACCTCCTCTACATCTGTAATACTTAACGATTCCAACATCTATAATAGTAGCCCATGTAACATCATCCCCTTGTAATTCTAGCCACCCCCACCCCCCCACACACACTATAGAATCCCTATTCTGCTGTGCCTCAGTTCCCCTCAGGTAGGGTCATACCCTGAAGTCCTTGTCAAGGCCCTCAATAGAGAAAGTATAAACTATTTTGGTTTGTACTTTTATAGGCAACTTTACCACCCGATAGGTAAGCACCATGAGGGTAAGCTGTAGCTCACTGTACAAGTCTAAGTAACCCAGCCCCCACTCAGATAACTTTTCTCCTTAGTTCTCCATACCATCTTTTCTCCTTAGTTCTCCGATACCAATGAACATCTAAAAGACCCAAAGGATTCGGGGCATAAAAATAACGTTCAGGGCATAAAAATGAACTAGTTCCCAAAAAATATGATATAGGGGCAAGAAAAAGGCATAATCCCAAGGAGATGAAACATTGCATGCCAAACCTGGACTTTCCCCACTTGTCTGAGGGTAAGAGGACTTGTTTTATACCCATTTCTGTATCCCTTTGACACAAAAACCAAACCACCAAACCCACTGCTGTGGAGTTGATTCTGACTCAGAGCAGCCCTACAGGACAGAGAGCTGCCCGCGGGTTTCCAAGACTGATCGTCACCAAAGCCGGCTGCCACTCCTTCCCTGAAGCAGCTGGGAGGTACAAACCGCCAACCTTTGGGCTAACAGCTGAGCTCTTAATTCACTCTGCCACCAGGGCCCACCCCCCTGTCTAAGCCCTCCCAACACTCAGAATCACAACACCATTCTAGTTCTATAGTCTTAAATTCAACCTCTCCAATCTCTGACTACCCTCTCTTTGTTACCTCTAACCCATTTTCTTCACCAACGAGTGTACTCTATGTGTCTATTTGTATATATATTTGGTTTTATAGTTTATTAATTCTCTGGTGAAGAATCACATGACCACTGCAGATCAAGTCACTGCCGAATCTTTCTTCCTGCCATCCAGCTCCAGCTACTTTCCGCCAGCACCAGCGATGGGCTTTGCAGGCCCCCCACTCTCTCCATTCGGTGGCTGCATTCCTCGCATTGTTTTCTCCAGGTCTTTTGCCTCTCCTACAGGCCAGGTCTTGCAAGTCTGTGTTTAGGCTCATTTTCCTTTGCATCATTCCAAGAATCGTAAAGCATGCCGAAGGCAACCGTCTTGCCAAAATGGATTCTAAACTCAGACACAAAAGTGGCATCTGGTGTGGTCTTGTACGTTTTGACTAGTTTTCACGAATTCTGTCTTAGGCACTGTTGCTTTCCCAGGGTGAAGGGCATCAGTGACGATTTTCCGCTGAAGTTGTTGGTTGGTCATGAACTTCCTGGTCCGGATACTTACTGGTCTTCCATGATGGCAGAGGACGCCCAAGCAGCCAGAGACAAAGAGCTCCTCTAAGGGCATATTGTACTCACTTTCTTTCCGGAATAGAACAGGGGCTTCAAGAAGAGACCGTGACTTTTATTTATTAAAAAACAGTATGCTAAATTGTTATAACCCTAGCAGTTAAGACATGTTTTATTGATTTGAGGGGAAATTAAAAAAAAATTTTTTTTCTTTCTACTTCTTCCTCCTACTAGTTCTCTTCTGAAAACTTGGCCAGACTGTCAGTATAATCAGCTGCTTCCACGCTGCCCTCTCATGGTAGGCTCCTTCGCCATTTTGGCCCCGCCAGGCTGATTCCTAAGTGCCACCATCTGTTTGTCTCCATGTGTGCTTCTTTAGGATGTTGCTGGAGAATGGGACAGAACTGTCCCAAGTGTGCCCACGACAGACCAGTTGTCCTAGTGTCCACTTCTTTGGTACATGGAGACCCCACCTGTGTCACAATAGACCTGAGTTTCATCAGGTTTTTCAATGGCTTGTTTTTTTCTTCAAACAGATTGTCAGACTTTTCTTCTGAGGCACTTCTAGGTAAACTTGAACCTCCACCCTTTTGGTTAACAGGCGAGCATGTTGTTTACAGCATCCACGGAGTAGTGGGCATGCTAGTCAACTTCAGCAAGACCCACCTTACCCCAGCCCAAACCTACAGCCATCAAGTCAGTTTCAAATTGTAGTGACCCTGTAGGACAGAATAGAATCCTGCCCCTACCCCCAATAAGGTCTCCAAGGTCAAGTGTGTAAATCTTTGCAGTAGCACACTGCCTCGTCTTTCTCCTAGGAGCGGCTAGTGTGTTTGAACTGCTAACCTTCCGAGTGGCCCGGTTAGCAGCCAAGTGCTTTGCTGCGCTTCTGCTAGGGTTTCTAAGGCCCTCCTTGCTGCCTATTTATTCTTTTCTTCTTCTCATCGGTTTCTAAGAATTGGCCACTATACTTTTGTTGCTCACCGCCAAAATCGCAGTCGAATG